TACATTCCATCAATGAAAATTCTATCAATTAAACTTCTCCACATGTCATCAGGGGAAGGTCAGCAGGAGGGGCTCAACACACAGATCTGGAATGGAAATTACATCCCATGGAATGTGTCTATATCCCACATCCCTGCAAGGAACCTGAACTGAGAGGGAGGAAAAGCCAGTTTGCAAACATTTTCCTGGGAATTAAAAGGAGTTTGTAGAAACTGATCAGATCAGCAGTGTGGAACCCATCAGCAACCAAACATTTCCCAGGGATCTGTTGGAACCATGGGATCACACACGGTTCTGTACATCCTCACACAGCCCTGCCCTTCCTCCCTGTGCCCGAGGAGCATTCCTGGCAGGAGCAGGCTCCACTGCTCCCCTGAATCCCTGGAGCAGCTGAGCCCCATCCCATCCCAATCCCATCCCATCCCAATCCCAATCCCCATCCCCAGCAATCCCAGCCCGACAGCCTCCCCCAGAGAGCCTGGCAAAAGTGTGTGCATTTCGCAAGAAAAGAGCAGCATCCTACTCAGAGCTGCACTTCTAAGCTCCCTTCCTTTCCAAATAATCTCATTTTTGAGATTACTCTGTCTGGAGCAGAAGGCAGGACTGCAACTGTCATCTTCCTCCTTCGGCAGGAAGGAAAGGCAGCCAACACCCCCAGGGAGATCAGGGATGTTCCAATTTACACTCCCTTAGCCCAGTGTGCTGCAAAGTTCCCTGAAGGGGCTCAGGAACAGCCCCCTCGGGGCCACAAGAGCCACCCCTGATAAAATCCCACAGGGATTTGGACAAGAACAAAATGATTCTTAATCGACTCTTTCAGATTGCATCCACCGAGGACACAAACCTGAAGCAGTAATTTGTTTATTATTAATGCCTGTCATGAGAAGTCCGTAATTCTAAGGGAGCACAAAAATACGATTTCCAGCATTAAAAAAAAAAAAAAAATCAGGGTGTTGATATTCCCCATATTGCGTGGCTCTACTCCCAGAAAATATGAAACACCCTGACAATGGTTTTATCATGGAGTCCCATTTGCAGGGAAAGCTACGACCCTGCAAAGGAGCAACATTTTCTCCAAAGCAAAACCAGCAGCCTAAAAACATCCTGCCTCAACTCCCCGGCGCATTTGGAAGCAGCTTTCCAAATTATTCTGGTGTTATTTTTAGGAGAGATATTTAATTTATGACCAGGCTGCTATTTACTGGTGAGCACTGATAGAATTGTGTTGTGAAGAAGTCCCTGCCTTGGACACACTCGAATATTGGGGCAGGGCCATGGGCACGCTCCAGCAGCCCGAGGCTGATCCCTCCTGGAGCAGGAACCTGCCCTGCTCCCCACATCCCTGCCTGGCAGCCCTGGCACGGGATGGGACCCAGCCCCAGGGCTGCAGGCACCGTCCCTCTGCCAGGGCACTCATCCTGCTGGATGGGGTGAAGAGCAGAGATGGAAAACAGAGAGTGCAGCCCGAGGCACCTCCCGGGGAAGCCGTGGCCAAGCTGGAGCAGCTCCGGCACACTCGGACATCCAGCCCTGTTCCCCCCTGCCCGGCTGGGCTCTGCCCTGCTCCTGCAGGTGCTGCTGCTGCTCCTCACCCCTCACTTTAACCCCAGAGCCTCCAGCAGGTCCCAGCAAGCCCTTGGCAGCGACAGACACTGAACCCAGGGGCGCAGCCTCCCCTCCCTCAGACCCTGGGCTTGCACAGGGCGCTTCTGTCCCTCTCACTTCGTTCTGGAATCCTCCCAGATGGGGCCTGACGAGGCATCCTGCCCCACTGGCAATTCCTGTGCCCACCCACACGTCCTGTGGGGCCTGGCAGGAGCAGTGAGCACCCCAAAGTCTCAGCTTGGCTCCATCAGCACCAGCCCTTCAGCTGGAGAAAGCGAGAGGCAGGGCTGGAGCTCCCCTGAGCTCCAGAAGGACTCTGTGCCTTCCCCACACTCCTGGGGGAGCCTTCCCACCCCCACTGTTCCCAGCCTCTTTTATCCAGGAGCAGCTCAGGGACAAGGGAGGGGAGAGGTCCAGAGGCAGGGGAGGGACTCTGATCACACAGCAAACACCCCAAGTGTCATGGACATCCCTCCCATCATTTTTTCACCCCAGGAAAGCTCCTCCAAAACCTCCAGCAGTAATTGCATGGATGAATTCCAGGCACTGCCTCTCCCTGCTGATCCACCTGTTGGCTTTGGCTGAGGATGCTCCCAGCTCTGTGCAGCGCTGGGAGCGGGTGAGCTGCAGACAGAGATAACAGAGCCTCCCATGCAGAGAGGAAGATGAACAGCCTGGATGGATCCGGCCCCTCCTGGGGTGGAAGCGCCTGAAGCACCAGGGGCTGGCTGAGGCAGCCCTGCTGTGCTCTGCATGGGTTATATATACATACATACATATATCTATCTATCTATACAGATGTATTTACACAGATTTTCTCCCTGCATTAAGGCACAGCACAAATACTTCTCTTCATTGTCAGAGAAGCAGAAACTCCAGTAAGATTCCTTTGCAGAGGCCTCCACGGAGCTTTTACCTACCAGATGTGAGGGAAAAGCCAGCTTGGCATGCAAGGAAGTGTTCAAGAGCCATCCACCCACCCCTCACCCACTGCCCCAGGCAGTAAAACCCACGGTGACTCCTGAGAAAGAAGCTGCCTGCCACACTCAGGAATTTCAAAGAGTTCTGGGGTTAACAAGATTTTTTGTGATTGGTACTTGGTTTTCCTCTTTCCACTAACTTCGAGCTTCTCATCCACCCACACACAATGACACTTATTTGCTGAACAGGTCCAGTTCTCATCCTAAAATAGTTCTTTTCTATTTCTCTTTGGCTGAGCATGTTCTGAACTGTATTTTGAACGAGGAGAGGACAATAGGGAGCAGCTTTACGGCATGGAAGATCTGCTTCAAGGCGGCTCATCCAAGCTGCAAAATAGATATTCAGTAAAATCCCTCAGTATGGGCCAGTTCCTGCTTTCTGGATGATTTGGTTAAATTGCAGTTTTGAACAGATGCTTAGTCACAATACATTAAAGTATTCCGTTTATATAAATATCTCTACATGGAGAAACTGTCCAAATATCTTATTTTCTGCAAATTCCACTACATAACATATCACCAAAGACTTTGCAGGTATTATCCAAAAACCTCCTGGTGCCTACAATTCCCTTCTGAGCTGCATCTCGGTCGGGAGTGCCCCGGACTTGCTGCGGGATGAGAACTGGAGTGAAGAGCTGCCTGATCTCGCCCTCCTGGCTGGTGGCAGCTGCTGGAGCCGAACCCGAGCACAACTTCAGCCCGGCTCACGTCCCTCCGAGCTGCTGGGCTCAGGCAGAACGTGAGCTCGTGTGTCCTGCAGCCCGGGGAGCTGCGGCCGGCCAGGAGGGCACGGAGCGGGGCCGGGCACGGAGCGGGGCCGGGCACGGAGCGGGGCCGGGCACGGAGCGGGGCCGGGCACGGAGCGGGGCCGGGCACGGAGCGGGGCCGGGCACGGAGCGGGGCCGGGCACGGAGCGGGGCCGGGCACGGAGCGGGGCCGGGCACGGAGCGGGGCCGGGCACGGAGCGGGGCCGGGCACGGAGCGGGGCCGGGCACGGAGCGGGGCCGGGCACGGAGCGGGGCCGGGCACGGAGCGGGGAACGGAGCGGGGCTTGCTCCGCCAAACGAGGAGCTGCACGGTGAAGCCGCACAAACTGTGGGAGGTTCAGCACGGCGCTGAATCCGGCAGCGATGCGCTTGAATCTGCCAGGAGGGGAGGCGAGCGAGGCAAAGAGACAGCTCGCCGGTGTTGTTTCAGTAAAATAGCCAGGGCACAGCCCGGCCGGGCAGAGCAGAGGGCAGCGAGGAGCGAGGGCGGCATCGCCCCGCTCGCCTCGGATGCAGCGGCCGGAGATGGCACCAGCAGCCAGATGGGAATGAGGAGGCTCGGCGGCTGCTGACAGCACCGAGTGGATTTGCCGTGAAAACCTCACAAGTTTCCAGCTGGGAAAAGCGGGGGATCTCTCCGCCCGCTGCACAAAAATAAAAAAATCCCTCCACCACCTTCCGCATGCGAAGGCGTAGGACAGGGAGCAAAGAACTCCGCTGCTCACGATGCATCTGGTGGCGCTTCTGTCACTGGCACCGCACCCGCGATCGCTGCCGAGGAGCACCCGGCGCTCGCTGCGGGGCCCGGCGGCTGCAGCAGCGCCCCGGGGGGACATCCCATCCCTGGGGGAACATCCCAGCCCTGGGGGGACATCCCAGCCCCGAGGAGACATCCCAGCCCTGGGGGGACACCCCCACACGCCCCGGGGATCAAGCCCTAGTCAGACGCAGCCAGATGGGCTCGCAGGGCCGTGGGGCAGGAGGATGAGACCCCGGGGGTGCCGGGTCTCCGTGGCCGAGCCCCGCGAGGTGCAGCGCACACGGGGAGAGGAGAGCAGCGGAGAACGGGCAGGCGCTGCAGCGCTTCTCCCCCGCACACACACGCACGGCTCTCTAATCCTCCGGCTCTGATCATCCCTCGCTCCTCCCGGAGCCGCCGGAGCCTGGAGCGGCGCTCCCGGGATGCAGCCGCCTCCGCTCCGGCCGGCCGGGCTCGGGAGGGAGCCGGGACCCCGATCCGGGCAGGCGCTGGGTGCTGGGGCTGCCCCGCACAGCCCCGGCTCCGCCGGAGAGAACCCCTCCTGACCCTGTCCCGACCCCCCGCGACCCCCGGGCCGGGGCGGCCGCAGCCCCGCCAGCCCTGCCCGCAGCGCCGGGATTCCGTGCGCCCGCATCCATCCCCGCCGAGCCACGGCTCGCTCTAACGCCAACCCAGCGCAACCAGCGCCTCTTCTCTCCTTCTTTTTTTTTTCTCCTCCTTTCCCTCAGGCGTTGCTTCGTGCAAATGGGGCTATAAATCCAGAAAGCGCCACGCACCGTGGAGAAGGGAGACGGGGAGGGGAAGCAGCTGCTCCGGAGGGAGGCGGATGGAGCACCTGGAGAGGCACAGGGGGAGCCGGAGCGGCGGAGCCCCGCGGCACGGCCCTACCTGGAACAGCCGGAGGATGTTGGCCACCATAATGGACACGGAACTTCCCGACGCCCCGATCACTCCAACTACTTTCTCCGGCTTGACGAAGACGGGCGGCTCGCCGTTGGTGCACCTCACGTCGGAGGTGTCCTTCTGGATGAGCGCCTGGACGAAGGTGAGGGACTGCTCCAGCGCGTAGGTGTCCCGGGAGCAGGTGTCCAGGATGCGGGCACCCAGCGTGACGTTGGGCAGCAGGTCCGGGTCGCTGTTGATCTGGTCCAGGGCGTAGAGCATCGCCTCCAGCCTGTGGATGCCGTTCTCCTTCTTGATGTCCCCGCAGGGGGAGCCCGGGGGGCCCTTGGCGTGCACGGGGAAGAGGCCGCCCAGGGTGATGTCCCCCTCCAGCCGGATGGAGTGGGGCGCGTACATCTCCTGCCCGCGGGCCGCCTCCCCGAGCAGCAGCTCCAGCAGGCAGCAGGGCAGCTCCAGCAGCGCCAGCAGCCGCAGCACCCTGCCCGCCCGGCCCATGGTGATGCCGCCGCCGCCCCCGGGCGCTGCCCCGCGCTCCCCGGGGGCCGGGCCGGGCGGGATGGCCGGGCCGGGACGGCCGGGGGAGGGCTGCGGGTTCGGCCGCTGCCGCCCGCCCTGCCCTGCCCTGCCCTGCCCTGCCCGCCGC